AAGGAGTTGTTCGTCCGTGTTTCTCCACTTCCTGATGCTGCGTGTATCACACGGTGTGCACACCGTACACCTCCCAATGACCACTGCTCATCGTCTTTTTTTATCATCATTTATATCGTCATTATCATCGCCATCATTATCGTTATCACCATCACCATTATCACCATCATCATCATCATTATCTTCATTATCATCGTCGACCTAGCCCAGTTCATTAGTGCGAACCCGATCACCGGCATTGCTCGACCTCCTCTCTGATGTGTATGCTAAGTTCGATCTTGAAGTTCATAGCCTTCTGGTACTTTTTGTGTGCGTTTGTAAGGGGTGGTTTGGGTTGTAGGGATCCATCCAGGCGGTTGCAGTGACCATCCCACTGAGCCAGCTTTTATTCTTCTTCGAGGAAAATCAAAAAAAAAAAGAATAATTGGCCAACGCACGGGCTTCCCGCGCGAAGATGCGTTTTTTACATAGTTTCCCGCAGTTTTTGTTGTTACCGGCATCAGTTTTTCCAACAAATGCTTCTGGCTAAACAAACGCCAGAACTGACAGGAAACAGCCCCTCAAAATTTCAGCTTTCTAGCTTTCCAGGCTCCTGAGTTATCACCTACTTGGACGGAGAACATTCCCCTAAGATTTCATCGTTCTGGCTTCTCAGATCCTCGAGTTATGAACTTGCCCCGAAAAAATTTTGGCGGGCCCGCACGCGGGTGCCACGCGAGTGATGACGCCAATTTTTATGGGGATTGGAGCCGGCACGTGCATGCAGATTAAGATCCCGAAATTTTAGCCCTGTGGCTTTCATAGGTCATGAGATGAAAGTGCGTGACAGACGTACACACAGACGCACAGACACGCAGACACACAGACAGCCCCTCGTCAATATGCGTTTTTGCATTGCATAGTTGCAAAAAACGCATAAAAAGCACTGTGGACTTCGTAAATATATACCTTCTTAGAACCGGCATGTGTTACCTATCAGCGGATGGTATCCGTGAGAAAGAAGATGAGCATTCGGGCGATCTCCTTCAAAAAAAGCGCTACCTGAAGTTCAGGGTGAAGGGATTATTGACGGAACTACAACCGACAAGTAGAAGCAGTAACATGTCTGATCAAGGCGGATCCATAGACTGATCCACACTGGTCAAGAGCTAAAACTAAAGTAAACTAAAGTAACTCTAAGTAGCAGCGTTACAACAGTCTGTTCCTTGCGCCAGATAAAATTTGGCAGCCTTTGCGCGCTTACCAAGCTTTCCCGGTGGATAGGTTTCATTATTTTAACACCTGCTTGCACGGGGAACATGATACTAGGATTTCAGCCTTCCAGCTTCTCAGATCCTCGAGTTATGAACCTGCGCCGGAAAAAATTTGGGGGTTTAACATAGTTCCGGGGTGAGAAGGGTTCTCTTTTCCATTCCCCGTGCCCTCCCCCTTTCCCAGAACTGTGTCCTGGATCCGGCAGTGGGGCAGTCGGCGGAAGTGCTAATCGGAGCTCGCTCGCTTGCTTCTCTCGGCTGTTGCATCGTAAGAATCCATCGTGATCAGTGTCAGCTTCACTCTCCGGTTCTACACGTAAAATTTGCACCTTCCCGGGTTCCCCGTTTCGTCTCCATGATGTACCGGGATCGCTCGGTAAATCCTCAGCACCCCATCGGTAGCCACCCCCCATCTGTGTAGCAGCGTACGGTGCCCGAACTGGGGCTGCTAAATTCGAGGGGAGCGGGGGCCTGGGCCTCCCCTCCCTTCCTCCTAGGTGTTGTTGTTATCAGTTACTTTAAGTTACTCGTTATCACTTTGTACAGCAAACCCGATCAGTTCATTGTGTAGTTATTCTTTTTCATTTGTCATAATACCAGCTGTCCTGCTTTTGTTGTTGCCTGTGTATTTTCTAACTAGTTTACTCTCGCTTTCCCCGCACGCATTATTATCATCATTGTTGATATTTGTCATTATTATTGTCATTATCATTATTATTTTTTATTAGTATTATTGTCGATGTTAATATTATTGTCGTTATCATTATTATTTTTTATTAGTATTATTGTCGATGTTAATATTATTGTCATTATCATTATTTTCTTTTGTTAGTATTATTGTTGATGTTAATATTATTGTCGTTATCATTATTATTTTTCATTGGTGTGTTATCATCAATATTAATATTGTTGTCATAATCATTATTATTTTTTTATTGACATTATTATCGATATTAATATTATTGTCATAATCATTATTATTTTTTATTGGCATTATTATCGATATTATTAATATTAAATTATCATAATCATTGGTGTGCACACAATACATATGCTCTGTGTGTTTCTTTGTCACTGGAACCCAGTCACTTCCTCTTCGATTCGTTCATTTGTTTCGATGATAATTTTTGGCAAGTTTTTGGTTACTCCTGGTACTTGTTAGCGCTAGAACAATGAATAGTGCAAATGCTATTATGGTCATCGATATTATTATCATTATCATTATTATTTTTCATTGGTGCGTTATCATTAATATTAGTATTATTGTCATAATCATTATTTTTTATTGGTATTATTATCGATATTATTAATCGATATTATTAATTATTATAAATTAACATTATAATTGACGGACACACAATACATATGCTCCATGTGACTGGAATTCATCTCTCTCTCACTGGGACAGTCACTTTCTCTTGGATTCGTTCATTTGTTTCGATGATAATTTTTGGCAAGTTTTTGGTTACTTCTGGCACTTGTTAGCGCTGGAACGGTGAACTGTGCAAATGCTTTATCTGTTTCATATTGTTGCTATTTCACAGTTTGTTATGTGCACTGTATATTTTGTGTTAGTCAATTTGAGGGATTATTTTCGCTTAAAGCTGGCTCCACGTTTCTTTCGATCAGGGCCGGTTCCAAAAAAAAAAAAGGATTGCTCTTTTTCAGCTGGTCTATACTTGTTTGGTGTCACATATTCTGTTATTGATTATCGGTACAGGGCACGTTATCAGTGCAGTGATTGCTGCTGCTGCTGGTTTTTGTATGGGTCAATGACGACAAT